GCCCCCGCCACCCCCCTGCCGCCCTGCTGGGCTCCAGGTCCACCGCCTGTCCTCTCCCTCCCTCCTCTCCTTCGCCACCACGTGAACACAACCCGTACATACATGTGTGGACACACGCACACGCATCCACATGCTCACACAGCCCGTGCACACATGTGTGGACACACATGCGCACACACACCCACATGCTCACACAGGCAGTCTTCGTGAATAGAAGAGTCAGCTCCTCACTGAGTTCCACACCCCAAGCCACCCTTACACCCGCCCCAGGAGATGTGGGCTCAGAGTCCGGGTGGGGGAGCTGAGGGTCTGAGGAGCAGGCCTGGCCTGGAGGGAAAGGACCGGGAGGCCGCGTCACTGGGGAAGCCTTGCACGGGGGCCTGCTGCCTTCTCCCTCCCTGGATTCCAGGCTTCTTGGGGGTGACCCAAACCAAGTTGGTGGCCTCACTCCCCCTGCTTCCCAAGACCCCCCCCCATCCCTGCTGGGCCTGGCTGCCTCTCCCGGGGCCCACCCAGGCCTGCAGCCACCAGGGTTCTGAGTACTGCTGCAGGCGCATGTATCATGTGAGTGGTTCATTCACAGCTGTGCTCCCAGGGCCCCGAGCACACGGCTGAGTGAGTCCTAGGGGAGCTCTGCAGGCCAAGGATGCGTGTTACCCCCCAGCCCCCCATGCGTGTCTAGCCCCAGTGCCTCTGTCCCGAGCCTGTGCCATGCCTGGTTCCTAGTACATATTTGACAATTGACAAATACCCGCATCTCAGTGAGCCAGAGAGCAGCGCTTCTGCCTGGGGAGCATGCGCCGGAGGAGGGACCCCGGGAGCAGGTCAGAGGCTGGAGCTCCTCCAGGCTGCTCTGGTAGGCAGAGCCTCCCTTCACCCTGATCGGATGGGCCTGGCTCCAAGAAGAGCACCCTGGCCCACGGCCTATGCCTGTTCCCACCCAGCCGCATGGGTACTCGTGGTCACCAGCCAAGCCGTGCTGTGGGTCTCAGCCCCACACCTGTCAGTGGCAGAGCCTAAAGCAGTGTCCCCCATCTCAGCAGGCGAGGGCCTGGACACAGAGGCTTGGGAGGGTTCTGCATTAGCCAAGTTCTTCAGGGTCCAGGGAGCCTCCATAGATTGACCACCAGTGTGTAGGACAGAAACTGAGCGATGAGCTAATGACGCCGTGGGGCAAAGAGTTCCCTGACACAGCCTGCCACTGCCCTGGGCTCAGCTTCACCCTCCTCCAGAGAGCCTACCCCAGGAAGCATTTGGAATAAGAGTATGAGGGGCGGGGTGGGGGGGAGACCAGCAGTTAGCATAATGGCTGTGTCGCTGGACTCCCATGTAGTCGGCCACGGTTCGAGTCCTGGACCCGATGGCTTAAACTCATGCCAGGCACATGTGCGTGCGTGCCCAAGATCCCAAGAGGAGAATGGAGGAGAAGGGACTGTGGCGTGGCCATCCCTGCCCGCCCTCCCGGGGTGGTCATTTTTCACTTTGTCTCTCTCTCTCTGTCTTTCTGGTGAGTGCATGCACCCTATAGCAAAAACCTCTCCAAAAAAATAGAAAGAGTACGGGTGGAAGCCCAGTGGCAGCATGGTAGTTAAGGTGTCTAGGTCCCACATGGCCAGCTGTGCAGTTCAAGTCCCAGACCTGGAGGCTTAAAACACTCCTGACGTGTGTGTATGCATTCCCAAAGTCCCGAGAGGAGAAATGGGGGAGAAGGGATTGTGGCGTGACCATCTCCCATGAGCAAGCTTTCTCACTTTCCCTCTGTCTCTAACAAGCACACATGTTCTTTTTTGTTCTTTTTTTTTTTTTAAGAACAATTTTATTCATATTTATTTATTTATTTTAATTTGACCAAAAGGGGGTAGCGTGAGAGAGAGAGAGATGGAAAGTAAGAAAGCAAGCCGCCGGGTCCAGGACTCAAACAGCATTCGGCCACATGGGAGTCCAGCCCCCTTAGCCACCACACCACCTGCCGGCCCCCAAGCACACGTGTTCTTTAGCAAATTTTAAGAAGAGAAAGGGAAGAAGTACAGGAGGGGTATCCCTTAGCAAAATGCTTAGGACCGGAAGTGTTTCAGATTGTTTAAATATTTGCATGGACATACGGAGGTACCTTGGGCCTGGGACCAAAGTCTCAACGTCAAGTTCATTTATGTCTCATACACACCTTACCCACATTGCCTGCAGGTGACTTTAAGCAGTACTTTTCATAAGTTTGTAAATGAAGCAAAGCTTATACACATTCAGCCACCAGGCAGCAAAGTGAAATTTCCTCTAATGGCATCGCAGTGGCACTCGGAGCATTTTGGAATTTCGAGTTTTCAGATTAGAGATTCTCAACCTGTAAGAGCTAACGTTCTCCCACCAAGGTCCCTTTCTGGCCACGCCCCATATGTTAATTCCTAAGGTAAGCAGACTTATTTCCATGTGGCAGATGAGGCAACCCAGGCCCAGAAAGAATAAATAGGGCTGGGAAGGGGCAGAGCCAGGATTCGAACTCAGGAGGCTGGCTCCCAACTCTGTCCTTTGCCATGGGGAGATGTGGCCAGAGTAGCAGGTGCCTGGCTCCTGGTCCCTGGTGCCTGACCCCTCCACCCCCTTGCTCTCTCCCTGCCGCAGGGCACCAGTGACTTCTGCGTGGCTCCTGACACCTTCATCCTGAACCTCACGCAGGGCCAGATCAGCACAGGTAAGGTGCTCGGGCCAGGCCCACATGGCCACTCAGACTGTGCCCCCAACTTCAGTCCAGCTGGACAGACGCCTGGGCCATTTCCTAGAACCGCCTCCTTTGGGAGTTCAGGGACAGGCAGGAAGGCCTGGCATGGCCTCTGAGGACAGTAGAGGGTGTGATCCTTCATGATCTGCCTGACACCGTTGCCGTTGCCTTGCAGAGGTGACCCACTACTACCTGTACTGCAGTCAGAGTGCAAGCAGCCCCTTCCAGCAGGTACAGCCCACCCCAGCCGCCCTCCCCTGCCTGTACCTCTCCATAGCTCCCTCATTCCCTACCCCACTCCCCTAACCCCTCCAGGAAGGTGGGGGTGGCCAGGCAGTTCGTTGCTTCACCATGGTCCCCCATTTAGCCTCTGCTGTCAAGGGGGGGCAGCTGGTCATCTGGGTGTGCTGGATCACGTTCCTCATGGGTGAATAGGTGTGCACCTTGCACGTGGAGCTGGTGAGCATGCAGATGTTGTGCAGAAGGCCTGGGATGAGGCCCGAGCGTCTGCTTGTCTCAGCCTGCTAGGCTGCAGGTCTGAGGGTCCCATCTGGATTGCAGGAAGCAAGGGAACCTTGTACCCTTCAAGAACCAGTTTTGGGGGAAACCTTCCTGCAAGTGGGGAAGACCACGGTCAGGGATGCGCCTGTGCAGCTGCAGCTGGTGGGACAGGGGTGCTACAGGAGAACAGATCCCTCGGTGCCCGTGGGGCCTCGGGATTGAGCGTCACGGTGGGCTGTGGTCTCTCTCCTCGCCCAGGCCCTGACCACCTTCCAGCGCTCGCTGACCACCATGCAGATCCAGGTCACAGGGCTGCTGCAGGTGGCCCTGCCCCTCTACCCCACAGCTGAGGTAAGGAGGCCACTCCCACAGAGCTGTGCTGCAAGGGAGGCCCTGGAACAGTCCTGCCCCACCCCTACCCAAGCCCAGGGCTGGGCTGTGCCATTGGCTCCTACAGGCCCTCGAGGCAGCTCTAAGGATCCCTTTGCCCAAGCTGCTGTTGCTGTTTTTGAGGCCAGTCCTCCCATGCTGTGGCTCAGCTTCTGCCTCTGTCTCCCTCCTGCTTCAGAGAGATCTGCTTGGAATCCAGGTCCTGCTGTCGCCTGTGAATCCAGTTCCTGCGGAACGCATCGGAGTCCAACCTGCACCAGCTGACAGCTCTGTTAGACTGCCGAGGCCTGTACAAGGTTCTCTGGGTGGCCTGGGGGTGCATGAGGGTGTGGCGGCATCTCAGCAGGCCACCTCTTCCCAGAGAGAAGCCAGGAGAGGCCTGGGCTTGCTGAGGTCTGGGACCAGGGGAGGGAGAGGAGGGGCCTGGCTCCTTCTCTCCAGTAGCTGAGACAGAGAGGTTCAGTAAAAGGCACCAGGGATCAGGGACCAGAGGATTGGATTGGGTTAACTCTTGAACACTGGGGGGCCCTGACCGTTATAGAGAAGGCTGCTCCCCATGGTCCAGACACCCAGCCATCTGGTCAACCCATCTGTCTTCCCCAGTTGCCAATGGCTGTCCCAGTCTCATTGCCGGGGCCGTCTTCCCAGGAACACGGCATGTCAGACACAGTGATGCAGGAACACGCCGGGCATGTGTGCACACAGTGAGCCGGTGCGTGTCCCTAGCTTCCACGTTCCACGTGATTCAGAGCCGGCTGTCATTTATTAAGTGCCCATTTCTGTGCTCAGCCCCGCTGTGCACTGTGCAGTGTGTTATCTGGCCCCTGTGCTGTGTAGTGAGATGCGTGTTATTTCACGGGGCATGTTCTAGGTGAGGAACGTGTGTGCGGATGGACAGATCTATACCGTCTGACTTCAGAGCCAACAACATGGGGTCCCTCAGCAATCCTAGCAACTACACCCCGACTCGACCTTGTCCCCCGCTGCCCTGTCCCCCGAGCACCACCTGCTCCCTGGGAGGCGACGGCCTCCTCCGCTTCCTCTTGCCCTTTCACCACCTTTGACCTTTCACACATAGCAGCTGGAGCTGTCCTTTAGAAAAATGAACTGGACCCCACCTCCTCCGTCCCTGAATGCTCTGCTCTGACGTCATCTGATCACCTTATGGGCAAATCCAGGCTCCTCTCCTGCCCTGAACAACCCAGCGCCACCCAGCCCCATCTGACGCCCTCCCCTGCTCGCCGTTTTTCTCTTTCCTGAGCATATCAGCGTGTCCCCTTTGCCCATCTTCTGAAGGCAACTCCTTGCCATCCCGGCTTCAGCCTAAATCCTCTTGTCTCTGGCTCCCCCACCTTGCAGGCTGGTCTGTCCTGTTCCGAGCCAGCCCTCCGGTGCCTGGCACCCAGTAGGTACTCAGCAAGTGTGTGCAGTGAACCCCAGGAGCCCCGTAGTATGGACTCTTAATGACAATATCAGATGCTAAGAAAGAGGAGTGACCAGGAGGTCCCAGATCCAGGCTGGGGGAGAAGAACTTGGACCCCTGCCTTGCCCTTCTCCAACGGCGTGTGCCCTTCTGCCCCAGGACTACCTGGACGCCCTGACTGGCGTCTGCTACGACGGCATTGAGGGCTTGCTCTACCTCGGCCTCTTCTCCCTCCTGGCCGCCCTGGCCTTCTCCACCATGATCTGCGCGGGTCCACGGGCCTGGAAGCACTGTGCCAGCAGGTGGGCTGCCTGGTGAGCTGGGGGCCCCCTGGGGGCGGGGAGGCCCTGCCGTGGGACTGAGCCGAGCGCCAGTGACCGGTGACCAAGAGGGCAGCAGGGGCACAGGCATTCAGCACCAGCAAGCTGGCTGGGCTTCTCCAGGAAAGTCCAGATACCCCCAGAAGGAGGTTCCAGGGGCCTAGGGTGCTGACTGGACTTTGCAGTGTGGAATGATGGGAGTTTCTGGTGCTGGGAGGGGTGCCCCGGGAATACCGAGAAGAAAAATGGTATCACTGTTATCGGGAACCTACAGTCTCACTGAGGAGCTGGACGGGGCAAGGCTTCTGCACCTCGTGAGTAAGTTAGACAAGAGGCAGCACAGTAGGGAGGACCTGTGTGCATAGTTAGCATAGTGGGCTGTCTGGAAGAGGCAGACGTGAAGTAGGGACTGGCGTGGAGTGATCCGTGTGAGCTGGGACTGAGGACCAGGCATCAGAGCAGTCTCCAGTAGAGACACTTCTGGCCAGAGGAGCGTCTGGGAGGAAACACGGAAGCAGAAGAGGCCCAGCTGCCCTGGAGCCTCCCGAACCCTCGCAGCTGGCCAAGTTCTCCATGTTGTGTTCTAGGGACAGAAACTACGATGACATCGATGACGGTGACCCCTTTAACCCCCAAGCCCGGCGCATCGCGGCCCACAATCCCCCCAGGGGGCAACTTCACAGCTTCTGCAGCTACAGCAGTGGGCTGGGCAGCCAGACCAGCCTGCACCCCCCGGCCCAGACCATCTCCAACGCCCCTGTCTCCGAGTACATGTACGGGGGAGTTGGGGGTGCCGAGCCCCACACACGCACATCCGGCTGGGGTGGCCCAACACTTCCTAGTCCTGTGGGGGAGCTGGGTCCGTGGGAGTGGGTTTGGTCCACAGAACCAGGCGGGGGAGGGAAGGTGGCAGCTGCCAGCTGTGGTAGCCATGGGAGGCTCAGGGAGCATCCTGTCCCCCTCCATACCCACCCATACTGGAGGGAACCTGCTGGAGGGCTCAGGCCAGTTCTCCAGGCCTCCTGGGTGCTCTGGCCTTCTCTTCCCACCCACACTGCCCGCTCCCCAGTGCTCACCCAGGGACCCTCCCGTAGAAGTGTGTGCACGTGCGTGCCCACACACTGTCCCCTCTGAGCTGTCCTCTCGGCCCCACAGGAACCAAGCCGTGCTGTTCGGTGGGAACCCACGCTACGAGAACGTGCCGCTCATCGGGAGAGGCTCCCCACCACCCACGGTAATGCGCTACAGGGTGGCTCTGCTCTGCCCTGGGCAGAAAGGCAAAACCAGGCCAGCCAGTGGCAGCTGGGTCCCACATGGCCAACGTGTGGTTCAAGTCCCAAACCTGGCAGCTTGGAAAACACGGGGCACGTGTGCGTGCCTGCCCCTAATCCCGAGAGGAAATGCAGGAGGAGAGATGGCAGCGTGGCCATCCCCCCGGGGGTGGGTGCTTTCTCCCTCTCTCTGTCTCTCTCCGGTGAGTGCACATGCCCTACAGCAAACATTTTTAAAAAGGCCAACCTCCTGCCCACCAGTGCATCTGCTCCACAGAGGAAGAAAAGAATGAACCCGATTTGTTTCTGAAGCATTAAACCAGCCTGTCATGCGTGTGGCAGGATTATTCGCTACAGAGACCGCAGAGACAGATCGCGCCCTTTGCTCTAGGCCGCAGGCACACCCCCTGGCATACCCGCCCCGCAGATCTGGAGCTCTGTGCGGCAGTGTGGTGTCTGTGTATAACCCGCGCAGCTCCCGCCATGTGCTCCAAGCTGTGTGTGGGTGACTTACACACCTGACGCAGCGTCACTGCTGTGGAATACTTGTAATCCTGCAGTGTCAGAGAGCCACGGCAGGAAGAGAAGTCCATGGTAAAGATGCGACATCGCAGGCCTAACACACGGTGCCCCCGGGAACGGGACACGGTCGAATCCGCAGACGTGAAACCCGCAGATGAGGGGTGCTAACTGTTGCCTTGAGGGGAGGGCCTCGTACTCCACATACGGCGTCACCTGGGGCTTGTTGACACGCCACGGCTGGGCCCAGAGCTTTGCATTTCTGACAGGTGCCCAGGCGAGGCTGACGCAGCCTGCTGGTCTGGAAACCACACGAGGCTGAGGCCGGCTTCCTCGGTCTCGGCTGTTGATGGGAACCATCGTTCTCAGTGGGGGGCCCTCGCGGCACCGTATCCCTGGCCTCCACCCGCGAGATGCCAGTAGCGTCCCACCCCATGTGACCACCAGAATGCCCCAGTATTGTCACAGTCCCTGAGAGACAGAACTGGCCCTGGGTGAGACCCACTGGGTGGAAGGGACTCCCCTTCCCCACCCCAGGTAGAAGATTCAGTTTCCTCTTTAACACGAACGGCCTGGACCCTGCGACTTCCCTGGCAGCTCACCACAGGGGCAGGCTCTCAGGCACTGGCAGGGGCCCCCGCGGCTGGCGTAAGGAGCCGAGCGGCAGGACCGAGATCTCTGAGCTCCCGCTTCGCGCCAGGCCCCTGCTTCGCCCCGGCTGCGCATTCAAATCGCCTGAAGGGCTCTAAAAATGCAGGTCCCCTTTTAAAATGCTTCATGTGTCACGTGCATTTTGCCTCATTGAAAAAATAGACCGGGTGCAGGGACGTAGGGCCCCGTGTCGGGGCCTCCCCCGCCCTGCGCTATGCCAGCCTTTCCGTGTGAGCCGAGCCTTTCTAGCCCACTTGCAGTTGGGGAAACTGAGGCTAGGAGAGGTTGGAGAACTCGGCTGAGGCCACAGGGTGAGTAGCTGCATAACTGGGGCTGGGCCTGCGCCCTCTGCCTGTCCCCAAGGTGAGGTGACCATGGGCTTGGGGAGGTCGCAGGAGTAGGTGCAGTGGAGGAGGGTGGTCCGTGTTGCATCCTGTGTTGGAGGCCGGGAGCCGGATGTCCGAGGACCCGGGGCTGGAAGCGTCGCCACATGCCACTCGGTGTCCACAGTCGCCCCCACACATACCTTGTGGAAGAGCCTGGGCCCCCTGCTGCCGTGTGGACCTGCCGTCCCTCTTGGAGAAGCTGCAGCCCCTCGGCCAGGGCGGTGTGCGGTTTACGTGGTAGCGCGGGTGGCGCTCTGACTGTCCCTGTCCTGTCTCCACAGTACTCTCCCAGCATGAGGGCCACCTACCTGTCCGTGGCGGACGAGCCCCTGAGGCACTACGGGAACGACTTTCCAGGCTAGTGGGCTCCAGGAGCTCTGCCTCCTCCTGGTTTCCAGTCCCTGCGAACATGAACTACGCTCTTCACCAGGAACCAAAGGCCTCGGAGGCTGGCAGTCTCAAAGCCCTGGCCGGCAGGAAGGCCACGCTGGGCCCGCCTCCCTCCACTGCCCTGCCTCCTCGCCAGGAGAAACTCCCCCACGGGCTTGGCTGACTCAGGGGCGCGACCCTGAGTGGCCACCCGGGGCAGCTCACTCCTAACTCCCATGCTCACAGGTGGCAGTGGAGTGAGGAGGGGGCCGGGTGATGCTCTGCGGTCCTGGGAGCTGTGAGCTCTGGCCCCACTGCCAGGACCACGCCTCTCCTTACTGGGGCCCTAGCCTGGGTGGCCACTCTGAGTCACCCATCCTCTGCGCCCTGTAGGTCGCAGGGAAGGCTGATTAGGAGATGCTTTGGAGGGAGGTGGTGTCCCTGATGAGACCAGAACACTGTCCAGATCAGAGTTCCCTGGGGGCCACAGAGACCCTGAAGTGGGGGGATGTGGGTGGAAGCTGTGGCGGGCCTGTCTAACCCCTGCCAGCCCCCACCACTCTAGAACCGAAGCTGTGAGTCCATTAGCTGCAAGCCCGTCAGTCTCAGGTACTAACAGACGCTCCGAAAGCGACTTTAACTCTTT